TTTACTTGCAGTGTTCCGCTCTCTGGGAGTTAGTGTCCCATTTATTTTCTATTCTATTCTATTTCCCCTAAGTGCATAATTCTAAAAATTTCTTTATAATATTATAAGGAAATATATATAAAATACATATTTATATTTAAATATATATTTTTTTATATGTATATATATATATGTATATATATTATTGTATATATATAATATAATAATATTAATTTATTATTTTTTAAAAATATTTTATTATAATTATTTTTTTTATTTTATTTATTGTATATTTTTAATATGATGTAGAACTTTTCTCATTTTCTCACATTTTTGCAATTATATATTTTTTTTAAAATATTACACAAAATGCAAACATTTTAAGATTGAAATAGTTTTCGTATGTTTTGTAGTAAAATTGCAAATCAGTAAATAATTGCAAACAATTTGTTTACTTTAAGTTTTAAAATTTGTTTATTTTGCTTTACAAACAATTTCCGGAAATAAATTCAATGTTTTTAAATGCATCTGCCTAGAGAATACAAATAGAGACATCATTTTTATTTAAATTGCTGTGTTCTGAGCTACTTTTTAAGGTGTCACATTTTATTTATTTTAATGGAGAGAGTTTCTTGATAATGTGAATACAGTTTTTTGTATATCTTTCACAGACAATGTACTACTAATTTTTAGTACGTAGTACTAAAATGTATGGTCTAAAGTACATTGTATTACATTGCTTTTTGATTTTTTAAAATAGTTTGTAAAGTTTTACCAGATTAAATATCAAACTATAATATATAGTTCAATATTATTTTTAAACATTTATTTTAAATTACCAGTTAAAAAAATTAAATATTTTCAATTTCGGTCTTATTTAAAACTTATTATCATAAAGTAGGATAAGTCAAGTAAAATACTTCAATTAATAGAATGAGTAGAATATATACAATATTTAGCTATAGCTAATAGAAATCTCATGTACGAAGTCAAACAGAAGAGATCGCTTCCGTATAAATATAGAGCATCACAAAATCGAATGTCGTTTCCAGAAAGACGGACTTTGTACCACATATTCTAACATATTTTATATTTTCATAGCAATATTGGCAGATTTTCTCATTTATTATTTATCGACTTATTATCCAATTATTGTAGTAAATATAGTTCGCCATAAAAGAAATTAAGAAATGTCTTTCAATTATTAACATTAACAATATAGAAATATATATATATGGAAAAAAAAAAATTATATATATATATATACCACCAAAATTTTGAAACCCTTTTTCAAATTTTTTTTTTCTTTTATGTTGCTTATTTCTAAGCAATTTTGAATTATTTTTAATTTCATATTTTTTTATTAATATTTTTTAATGCATTAATTCACTAATAATAAATAATTTATAAACGTAATTTATAAACTTTTAAATGAAATTTTACGTATAGTATAAATATATATATAGTATAGATATATAAGTTACACATTATAAATAATAGAGATAGATATATTATATGTATATGTATAAATTTGCTATATATAGTTTTATCTTAGCAGTTGGTTTATTGTCTAGAATTTCAAATATATGCGATTGTTATGTATATTAATTATTTAAAAATTGAATCAAAATTTATTCGTTTTATTCTTTATTTCTTTCTTTCTCAATCGTCATTTTTAACGTTTCCTCAATATACGAAATTTCTTTCTTTCTTTATTCTTTAAGAACAATTCTATGGTCTAGCAATATCCAAATCACTTAAATAACCCTCAATTTCCATTATAGGCTGCATTGCTTTTAATTCATTTAAACCAAAATTAACAACAAAATTTATGAAATTCAAATAATTTTATTTCAATTTTTTTCTCTTTCTGCAATATTTTTCTAAAAATCTTGTCCTCTGACCAAAATATATATTATGGATTTTTAAATTACTTGGCAAAAACTTTTTTTTTTCTCTAAATTAATATAATTATAGGGTTTTCAATTTGCACTTACCTTTGTGTTATTAGTTAATATGCCAGCAAAAAGTTCATCGGTCCCATTTTCCTGGAACTGTGATAAAGCATCTTCACACCATTTCACGCATAAACCAAAGTACAGATGACGATGATTGAAATGATGCTTATTATACTTTGATATCTCGGTGATAACCCGCCAAGACACTGAATCATTTTTGGGTATAACGTCAGCCCGTACAAAGCAATAAGTCGATAGATTATTGAACTCCGTCAAACAGCGATCATAATCGTCAAAATCATATAAGCTGGGCATTTTGTAGTAATCAGTCACTGAAAAGTAAACAAATGAAATATAAATAACCATTAAAGCATGAATTAAATAATTTGAGAAAAATTAAAAAAACAAACAAAAAGTCACTTGATTTCGAATATGGATTAGTAATAAAAAATTTACACATTTGTATGTACCATTATACTTGAACTTAAATTTAATTGACACTTTATTGCTAGATATCCAATGAAAAATAAATCTAAGAATAAACAAGCCCATAACATCTACTTAAAAAGGTTTAATATAGATCCATGTGATTTTTTTTTGTTTAAGGCAATGAAGAGTGTAACATTTTTCAATGAGCGATCTAGTGCTACTCGTTAGTAATAACTATTTGCACCTTCACTATTTGTAGAATATTATATTTTAAAGATAGGAACTACAAATTATATTGATTTTTTAAGGATATCTTCAAGTTTACTTAATATACTTAAGCATATTTTTTTTTATATATATCAAAGTTTTTGATATAAGTTTGAACTATATTCAGATACTGTGGAGAAGAACAAGCTATTCGGCATCTTGTAATCATTAGATATAGATGCACAAGTAATGCAATGCGGAAAGAAGTCACAATATATAAAGGACTCACACAATACCACATAAAATCACTACTTCTATTTAATATTTACTTGAAACAAGCATTTCCGAAACCATTTGAAAAAAACAGAAAGGTGGATTTCCCATAAATGACATTGCCTTTGCCAACGATGTAGCTATTTTTGTAGAGAAATGCAAGATCTAACAGCAATAAAGCAAAAGAACACATATCTATCGATTGAAAGTGCAACGGTAGAGAAAGTGTTTAAATTTCAACATCTTAAGTACTACATAAATGAAAGTTAGGACAACAAATGTTTAATAAATTTCAATACACTTGTCGATATAGCTTACTTCTCAAGATATCGAGACCGAATGTTATTAACTTTTGCATTAATTACACCAATGAAAACTATAAACACAATCTAACATTGTGTTTATAATGTTCTAATCTATTAGAATCAGGTGAATACTACAAGGCTTATTGTAGTTCTCTCTGGTTACTGGTGTATAGGAATCCACGCAGAGAAACTGCACATGCCTTATAATACTCATTGCACAAGTGTTATGCAATGCATAATACAGAAGTTGGGTTGTTGCAGTTGGGTTACTGCACGATTTTATCTATATTTTAATCTATGATCAACTCTGATTAAAGCAGACAAAAAGCTAAAAACAATTTTTTTGATAGTACCCTAAGGTATTGATAATTAAGAAATATGCTAAATTTCAAAAAAAAAATTAATTGCTTAAAATTGTTGTTTTAATTTTAATTCTTAATACATTAAACAAATTTAAGTGATTTGTTTTTTCAAAAAAAAAATTACTAAAAACTTCAACTAAAAACCCTTGGCATTGACCATAAACCGCAAAGACGGCATAAAAAACGGCAGATGCTTCCTACTCATTTTTTGTGAAGGTGAATGGGAACTTGTTTTCTTTCTTAATGTCGTTAAGTTGATAAGGCAATCCTTTTGCAATATTACTGAATAAAATATTTATTTTTGCAGTATTCACATTGCAAAATCTTCGGGTACCGCAAGAATTTGTTTAATTAAGAGATTGCAGCAAAAGTTATGAAGTAAAAACCATGCCCCTCATCAACAAAAATTGTAAAAGTAACTCGATGAAACCTTAACAAGAGACAGAATATTTTATGCCAGTTGCTTATCCAAAAACAAATAACCTACATATTCTATACGATTATATTGGGAGATGATCTTGCATTCATTTTTATATATTTTGAATAAAGTGAACAGGAAATACATCAGGTTTTCTTGGTGAGCACGAAGGAGTATTCAATTTTTTTCTGCAATAAACCGTTTTTGGTTTTATTACAAAAAATAAGTAAGAACGTTCTAGAATTGTATTTATTTAAAAAATTATAATGATTTTATCTTACTAGAATACACTATAACCGAAACCTGAGTCAATTTATTGAGGTACTCCTTGAAGCTGTCCACATTATGCACTTCACATATGTATGCATAATTGGAAGCGACTTTAGCAAAAATGTTTCCGATCAAATTACATTTGCAGTTGAATTTATATTTTGTTAAAAATAAAAACGCAGAGCAATAAACAGACTGGAAGACAAAGAACAAATAAAAAGCTACTACATAGATTTATTTCAAAAATGTTAAAATAAATCAAATCAAAGAAACATAAATATCACCATGGGACAAAAATGCTTATGTATTTTTTAATAATAAGTCTTTTTTAAAATCTTGCTAGAGTGAACTGGAAGTCTAATACAAATAGATCACAGTATTTACCGTAGTACCAGTTAGAACTAGAACCAGGTACGTATTAAGTAGAGGGCTTAAAAAGCTGATGTTTCCTGAAATTAATCGGAAGACTATATTAAACATTTCTATACACATTATTTATGAATCATGACTGTTTAATAAAATAAAAGATTTTTTTTTTTTCAAATAACTGATACTATCTGAAATCCCTTCCGAAGTAAATTTCTAGTTCCGTGCTTAAGTAAACTTCAAAACTCGCAGTAGTTTTAGCATAAGCTCCTATTTTGACTCTGAAAGAGAGAGAGAGAACTGTTGAACAGAGAACTATTGTGACAAGTGTATCATAAGATTAGGCTCGCATTTAAAGTTTGATAGACTTAACATTTTTTTATAGATACTTCTACAGTACAAAATATTATTATGTCAGTTATATTATTTTTATATATTATATTATATTATATATGTTATATTATTATCAGTATTATATGTATTATGTCAGTTTCTGTTTTCACTAATTTTATAAATTTTTATAACATTCTGATACGATTTTTTTTTTTTTTTTTTGGGCTTTACGATTGCATAAAGCTGTCTGGATATTTTTATTTTAATATATTTATGCTTATAGATGACGTATAAAATTTAAGGGAAAAGTTGCTATAAAAAATTTTATAAAATTCAAAAAAATATGCAACTTCTATTAATTACTTTTAGTATTTTTTTGTCATCTTAATGAAGTTTTAATTAGGAGAAAAACATGGAAAAATGTATTCTTATAAATCTATTCAAAGTGCCTAAAACGCACTCAAACTAACTAATGGAAATAAGTTTAACAATTTATATATTAAAAATACTATACTCTTGATATAGTTGAAGTTGTTTACAATTTTTATATAAGCAGTAAATTATGGTTTAGATTAAATATAGGTTAGATAAGATCTAAAAAAACCATAAAATATATTTAAGATATCAGCAAACGTGTAGTTTGTTACCTACTGTTATTTCAGTTGAATTTACAGAAGTATGTTTAAGTATATTCCACCAGGAACGTAAACTGAGCTTCAAACTATACTACTGTAATTTATCAATTGTTTATTTACAATTAAAACTAAAATGATTTGTATACCTTATTTTGAGGGCATCACAAAAGGCAGTAGTTGAGTGAAGGTATTGATATATGTTTAACCTAGGCTTCTCTTAACATTGCCTTATTTTATTTATTTATCCTGTTTATAAAAAATGCAAAACGTAGAAAAAACCTTTTTTTACCTGATGGGAAATCTATGAGTTTGTTGTCATCTATACGTAAAATGCTGTGATTAAATTTCGGCTGAGATCTGATGACGAATGTTTCAAAAAGCTAGGAGAACCAGCAATGAGGAATAGACCAAAACTAACGCATAGCATAGATAACCCAACAAAAAAAAAAATATTTCAATATGCACTAGAATGAAGAACGAAAAGTGGGTGTCCGAGTTTATGCTCGATAGACAATGTGGATCAAACAGTGCAACAAAATGAAAGAAGAAACTGAAGAATGACATCAAACGACAAAAATACGTAGAGGAATTTTCAAAGGGAGGCCAAGATTCAACTAGGATAGTTGCGCCATTAATGATGATGATGAGAGGTTAAATGCAGAAAAAAGAGTATTGGCAGCACTCAAAAATATAGTAATAGACAAAATACTTGTTATTTTTTACACCATAAATACTCAATATCTGATTGGAACACATATTACTATTAATCAATCAAGTGATATAATTAGTAACTGTGTACATTATTCGAATATACGGCAATCTACAGTTCAAATTAATATTCCGATATTTAAATATATATTTTTTAAAACCATGTTGTTTTTCAAATTTTAATCAAAACTAAACTGAAATTCATTGAAATGACAAGATACTTAACGATTTCAATTAGAAAACAACTTCATAAACCGTAATAAAAATTCTGATTCAGTTATCTAATATATTTGGTTCATTCTAGAAACAATGGACTTTTTTAAAAACAATAATAATAATAATAATAAAAATGTCATATGTCATCTTTTCTTCTTAAAGAATTTTATTTAATGTTGATATTTTCACAATTTGTTTAAAAGTAACGCAATAAATATTATTTTAAATATGATGTGATTACGTATATAAATCTTCTTTATAATTGAATAATAGTTTAAAAATTAAAAAAATTATTTTTATTTTCACATACAAAAAAAATTTAAATGAAACAAATGTAAGTACTATTTGTTTTTATGCAGTAATTAATTATTAATTTATTTTTTTATTAATTTTTTTAAATATAATTCAGTCATTTTAATATAAATATATTTTAGTATTTCTAATACATATCATATATCAAAACAGTCAATATATAAAAACAATATTTTTATTCAATATATAATTTGTTACAGATACACGTGTGTAAATATATTTTTATTTTTAAAATCAAGCAAATTTTTAATATAACACAAAATTTATTACGTATAGTTTTTTTTTTTAAACTATATACTATATAACACCTTTTTTATTATTTCTCTAACACCTAATATTTACTCTCTTTTTTATAGTTTTGCATAAAATTGCAATCAAGAATATTGCATTAATTTTTGTTTTCATTTTTATTAACACAATTTTTTTCAGTTTTCTACTATTTGTTCTAATAATTAGAAGCATTCTAGAGATATGAATATGTATGTTTTTTAGTATATATAAATATTGTTAAACTATTTATGTGAAGAGCACTTACTATTCATCTCAAAGCAATTCGTTTGTGTAGAAAAATACGCGGTTATGGCAAAGAGCCACATTAGAATTTTAAAAAACATTTTTATTTACTTTTTTTTATTTGTTTTTGTTGCGATAATTAATTTTTTAAATATTATAAAA